CCCCAAAACCCCAAAACCCCAAAACCCCAAAACCCCGAGTGGGGATTCACAAGTTGAAACTTCTGCAGACTAGAGTCTGAACTTAACTGTGAAAATTAAATTTAGGCTAGGTGAAGGGATAAGGAGTTTAAGTGTTTTTGTGTGGGAGCAAGGGATTTGAGATTTGGTGGTAATATTTATTGGTTTTGGGGTTTAAATGGGTTAATGTGGAGATTGGGTTGGGGATATGAGGGGAGATGCGGATGTTTGAATATACAGAAATTTGGACAAATTTCCGTATATTTGTGGATGGAGCAGAGATGAAGATGACCGGTGTTAAATATGACTCAGTTGATATAAAATAGTAAACTAAACATGTATAAATTTAATTATTATAGCTCCTTTATTGACTTTTTCCATTTCCCAAATATTAATTCTGAACCACCGAATCTACCTCTTATCTCACCCAAATTCTCCAACACCTCTATCTTTCAGAATTAGAGTTATGGTCCAAAATTATTCTAGAATATCAGGCTGAGTTCAGCCTGTATAAAAATGTTTAGAAGCTTGGTTTGTTCCTTCGTAAAATGAGAATTGAGGTTATTGAATATTTGATCAAAATTACTACTTAAGCACATATTTTAGTTTTGAATATCTGTCTAGGTATTTCTCCGACTTGAACTTAATCCTGATGCTTATCCCGATGCTTCTGCTGATGAACTTCTTGGCTAGTGTTTCAAAGGTCTCTATCTCACATTTGTATAGGAATGTGATACAGATATCAATAGATTTCAGGTTTGGAAGAGTTTCTAAAGCTGTAAAAAGCTTCTTGATGGAATTAATCATCGGTCCTGGGCGTCGACTGCGCATGATGTTGAATTCTAATAATTCGAGGTTGGTTTGATTATGAAGCAAATCAATAAGATCCTCAAGTTCAAATCCTGGATTATATATCTTTTGAATTGTGAGAGCTGCTAATTTTTTAGTTTTTAAAATTTTTAAAAATATATTAAAATTGCTCTTCTCTTCCCTCGATAAAAAATCTCAGTAATAACCTTCGAAATAGAAATCGATTTTAATATCCTCAGGTAAAGCTTTTATCTTGCGTATTGCATCCCGGATTAACCCATTCTCTATGCTAAAATAGAAAGACATCGTTGTTAGTTTCCAAGGTAAAGATTTAATTTCATTCAATCAGAGTTGTCCGAATTTAAATCTTGTCTGTAAAATCTTATTAACAGGGATAATTATTTTTCCTTCCATTTCTAATAAGTCCTCCAACCCGGTATCATAAAAAGATACAACATCCGTGACTCACCCATTGAAATCAATGTTTAATTTATCAGATGCTATGAAGTTTTTGTCTACAAATGGCCTACCATAAAGTCATCATTCAAATTTCTCAATAACCAAAGCTTGATATCCAATTACGAGATAACACAATGAAGCAGAAGTTTTATCCCAGTCTTCCAATCGAGCTGTGTTTATAATTAAATTTAGGCCACTTTCTTTTCAACTCCGGGACAAAGTTATTAGTCCATTCAACAGACAGTTTCTATTATCTATACTTCTATCATATTTGAATTGAAAAAGTCTCAAGTAAATCGTTTTTAATCTTCGTATTTGCTCTTGGTGGTCTCTGTGCCAACCTTTCAGTTTATCGGAAATCCCTTTGAGAGCTACTATATCATTTATATTATTCATTGAGAATAGCTTGAGTTTGAAAGCAGAGGTTTTTGCTTTCTCACAAACTTGGTCAATTGTGTTAGTTTCAAGATGAGTTAGAAATTTTTTTGCCTCAACTCCTTCATCTGTTAATTGGTCATATAGCTTACTGTATTCTTCCCAAAAAGCTGAGACGATGTTCGAATTTGGAAAATGTGTATCTTTATATAAGGTTAAATGCCTATTTGCGCTTCCTCTATAAATTATCTTTGATCTTGAAATACAATTTAGGTCACCATATTCATTTTCATGTACTACAAATTGTGTCTTCAGGAATTTGGCCAATTCATGTAATGAAGATAGCATATATTCTGGAGAAGCCTTTCTAAACGCATTACGAGAAAATTTAATTTCAATTTTTTCGATTGTCCAACAATTTGTGTCAACTTCTCTAAAAAATTTAAAAAGCTCTCTTATTATTGATTCTTGGGAACAGCATCTATAAATCTGAAGTTTATATAGTTTTGATAATTCACTTTCCATGAAACTTTCAAAACTTAAAGTATTCTTTTTATGAAGAAAGTGACCGTGATATGCTGTATCAATCTTTAGAAGCTTCTTCTGTATTAAGAGTGTGTCTTCTCCATCTTCTCCAGGGTAGTTTCTCAGCAATATGTGTTTGTTCTTGTCCCAAAGTTTTCTTGAGGCTCTTCTTAGCTGAGTCATTAGTATCTGGCACTCATCTGCGTATCCGAAGTAGGGTAGGATAACCGAAGTCAGTGGCAGGGTAGTAAAAAGCTCCTTTCTAACTTTTGCTTGCTGCAATGTATTGCTCATCAAAGTAGTTGTCTGAGTTAATTTGTCGACCATATTACTGTCAAGCTCTAACATTTAACCCGTATGGTTCGCTATTCTTTAAATATTTTCAATCTTGGCCCCTTTTGTGGGGTTTTGGGGTTTTGGGGTTTTGGGGTTTTGGGG